GAAGAACTTACCTTCATTGCGGGATGCTGGTGCCAAAACACCGTTTCTGGGACGTCAGCGCCACGAATTATCTTGACGGTTGCGTCCTGGGAGCCTTAAATCGTGCCAAAACGCTGTTCCCGGGACTCCGACACCGCAAACCAAGGTGACTGTTGAGTCATGACCACCCTCAGTAACCTTCAATCGTGCCAGGACACCGTTCCAAGGACATGAACCATACGAATCCTCCAGCCTGTTACAAAATGTCAAATGGCGAATGCGCGCTGCGCTAGGGCGAGAGCCAATGTTTGAAACGGAACCGCCCTCCATCTTCGAAGCTGCTGCAGACAAACGCGCGCGGCGCTAACGCGAGAGCCATGTTGCGAAAGCCACCCGCCATCCGTTCTTGAAACTGCTGCGAACTTTGGGAAGCGAATGTGCGCGGCGCTAACGCGAGAGCCGCATTTGGAAAACCACCCGCCGTCCATCCTTGAAACTGCTGCACGAACTCTGCAGACGAATGTGCGCGGCGCTCAATCGAGAGTCACCCTGGGAGAACCACCCGCCACCCATCCTTGAAACGGTCGCAAGCTCTGAGAACGAGCGACGGCCCACTCTCCACCCATGGAGCTGCTGCAATTCTTGAGATCGACTGTTTGCGGCGACAAGGCGCGAGCCACATGCTGAAAACGGCCAGCCCTCCATCCCTGAAGCTGCTGCAAACCTCAGGCTTCAGGACAAAAAGTGATGGGGGGAAGCTCACGCGAAACGCCCCGCCCGCCCGACCAACGCGTCCAGGGATGCGACAGGGAAGAGATACGTACAAGCGAAAAGGATGGAGGAGGAGACAAGTTTGAGAGCGGGTGCACGCCAAGCCTCGAGAGCAGCGTTGTGGCCTACTGCAAATCCCAGATAAGCGGCATTCTGCTGGACCTTAAACTGAGAGACGTTGACGTGGATATCCTGGAAAATCTGAATCATGTGCTCGTAGCCGTTTTGATTAACCATGAGGAGGAAGGAGGAGGAGGAGGAGGAAGTAGGAGGAGGAGGAGGAAGGAGGAGGAGGAGGAGGAGGAGGAGGAAGGATGCAGGAGGAGGAAGGAGGAGGAGGAGCAGCAGCAGTAGCAGCAGGAGGAGCAGGGAGACCAGGGAGGGCGAGGGGGAACGGATCGGCTCGGCCGGTGGGCCCGGGAAGACCCACAGCGCCGTCAGGGAGGGAAGGAGGGAGGGAGGGAGGGAGGGAGGGAGGGAGGGAGGGAGGGAGGGAGGGGAGGGAGGGAGGGAGGGGGAGGGAGGGAGGGGAGGGAGGGGAGGAGGAGGAGGAGGAGGAGGAGGAGGAGGAGGAGGAGGAGGAGGAGGAGCGAGGGAGGGAGGGAGGGAGGGAGGAGGAGGAGGAGGAGGGAGGGAGGGAGGGAGGGAGTTTAGGCCTGCTGTTCGCTCCCTGCGGGAAGGGGCACACGGAGCAGAGAGGGGGGCCGTTGCAGCGGCCCCGTACCGCGAGCCCTAACCCCCATCCGCCCGTACGCTCTGCACCCAGGAGGAAGTCGGGGTACAAAAGACGGCCCCTGGCCCCATGCCCCGCTCCCCCTCGCGACGCGGCTGCGAGGCTCCTCGGCGTGTCAGGCGCGGGAGCTGGGGGTCGGCCGACGAGGACGGGCGCGCCATCCTCACCCTGAGCCGTCCCCGAACTCCTCCTCGCGGAGCTCAGACGAAGGTCTCGTAGGCGGCGCGGACGCACCGCCCTCGGCGTCCACCAACGCCTGGCCCAGGCGCTCCATGAGCGAGTCGATGTCGGCACCTTTGGCGAGATCATCTTCTGTCTCCTGCACGCCTGGGGCCACCATACTTTTGCCAGCATCGCCAGGAACTCGCCAAACACTGCGGCGCTGACGTTGCTGGACGGTTCCTCCGTTTTCTGCCTCTTCTCCTCATGAGGCGTTGGTCGAAGAACTCGCACCCTCTTGACCGTGCTCCTATTCTGGCCGTTCTCGATCCAATCGATCTCGGCCGTCGCGATGTTGTCCGCCGAACCGTTGACGACGATGGTGTCGTTAACCTGCGCAGGAGGCCATCACGAAGGGAGTTTGCGGAGGCCACCTCGATGGAGCTCACGTGGACAAGCTTGGATGGAAACTTGGCACCTGCTTCATATCAAAGCTCTGGGTTGGACTGCACGCCCTGCTGGTCGCCGTCGCGGCGCAGACAACCCACTGCACGGCCTCCTAAATACTGCGATTGCTCGTGAAGTCGCCATTGCACATCACCTCGAATTCAGCCTGGTACTTGAGCTTCTTCCCGCGGCGCTCGATGGTCCAGGCCTCCCTGCTGGCGTCCGCGGGGCCGACGACGGGGCGCTCTGTACCGAGCGTTTGCTCTTCATCTTCATGATGTTGGTGGCGTTTCACTTGCTTTTCATATTTCATGATGTTTGCTCTATACCGAGGGCTTGCTCCTCATATGTCATGACGCTTGCTCTACACCGATGGTTTGCTCTTCAACTTCTATGCCGAGTGTTTGCCCTTCATCGTTCATGATGCTTGCTCTGTATACCGAGTGTTTGCGCTTCATCTTGTGGCTCCTCTTCATGATGTTGATGGCTGCCACCCTTGCCTTGGACTGCATCGGGGCCCCTTGGAAGACCCATGGAAATGGTACACGATAGAGCGGGGCCGAGGGTGGTGCCGTTGCGGGCGTCGCCGCAGCCGTCGTCGAGGTCGATTCCAGAGCCAGATCTGGAGCAGGGGGCACCTGCGCACGCCTGGGTGGCACTGGGCCACGTCCCACCCAACGCCCCACCCGATGTAAGACGAAGCCAGGACGAGGATGACAACGGGTGAGGATAAATCGAGAATCACTGAGATCTGGCGGCTCAGGAGGATGCCTCGGGCGTCGCGGCGTTCTCGGAGCGTTCCAGAACGCTCTGAGAGCGTTCCAGAACGCTCTGAAACGGATTAATGCTCGTCTTCACCCCGCCCGACTATGCTTAGATCGGGCATGTCCCCCCACAGGCGGATTTGTAAACAAAAAATCAAGTGAATACCCCAAACAGTCAAAAATAGTTTTTTACATAAATAAATATATACATATATATATATATATACATATATATATCGTCTCCAGACTATGTTTGGACTATGGTTGGATATTCCTCCTGTAGAGGGACAAGCCCGACTTAAAAGACTATGCCCCACTCGACGCCCCCGGATGGATGAGATCAGCCCAGGGGGCCTCCGAGGCCCGATGGATCCTGCACATCGCTGGCCACGACACACAGTCGGCGCGCTGCCACTAGGAGTGCGGAGTAACGAACAAGGCGGCTAATCTGACCACGGCGAGCCTCGGTCACCAGCCTCTTCCTCCGCCTCCTCCTCCTCCTCCTCCTCCTCCCCCTCCTCCGCCTCCTCCTCCTCCTCCTCCTGCTCCCCTCCTCCTCCTCCTCCTCCTCCTCCTCCTCCTCCTCCTCCCCCTCCTCCTCCTCCTCCCCTCCTCCCCCTCCCCCTCCCCCTCCTCCTCCTCCTCCTTCTCCTCCTCCCCCTCCCCCCTCCTCCCTCCCCCCTCCTCCTCCTCCTCCTCCTCCTCCTCCTCCTCCTCCTCCTCATCCCTCCTCCTCCTCCTCCTCCTCCTCCGCCTCTTCGTCCTCCTCCTCCTCCCCCACCCTAGAAGCAAGGAACGGCACGAAGACCGGAGAGCCCCTGCGGAGCCCAGAGTGCTCCCTGCCTGCAGCGTCTTGGCCGGCGCACGAGGGGACGCCGCACGGCCAGCAGGACTCAACGCATGCCCTGCAGGCAGCGACACCCACGGCTCGGCGCCCTCCTCCCTCCCCCATGACCTCCCCGATCCCCCTGCAGCGGGCGAGTGTCTCGCCGGCGCCCCCCCGCCCCCCCCCCCGCACCTTCTGGAATCGCCTCCCGACGACATCGCGGCACCCACGCAGATCCCTTCCGCGGAATGTCTGTTCTTTCTGTTTCTGTGCACCCCCCCACGGGACCGAAGATGGGGTCAACCCCACTTTTGACCTCGCGCGCCACGAACCGGGACCTCAGAGGGCAACCAGATGGATGGCGCTGGAGAGAGCTCGTCATTGACGAGATCCCGGATCTCTTCAGCGAGATACGACGACGTAACAAGAAGCGAATCCAGAGCCGGTGCCCCGAGGTGTTCACCCGGGAAGCTTGGGCTAAGCCCCTGATCAACCGTCCGCCCTACGACGCTCAGATCTCAGACGAAGATGATCCCGCCCATGGAGCTAATGCCGACCATGGCGCGGACAACGTCTCGATTGACCACGCGCAGGCGACCACCACCGACCAAACCGGCCCGACTGCAAAAACGCATGACGGCTGACAGAGGGCCGGCCTGCGGGACGACCACTCCCCTACAGAAGCAAAGCAACAACAGCTCAGGGCACGACCCCACGCTCGCCCACCAGAAGTTGAGCGTCGACAACACCGATCCCCTTCCCCACGATGCAGCGCTGCAGGACCGTAGCACAGGCCAGCCTCAACGAGGTGCCACTGCGTAATTACACCCTTCTTCACAACCCCTCCACTAGCATCAAGGCGAGCACTACCCACGGAGGCCTACGTCGGGGCCTGCCCACGAGGGGGCCTGTCCTATGCGTCACCTTCCTGCCCCTTACAAATTCAGCGCCAATCACGACGGACGTCAACCACCTGGTCCAGCTTTTCTTCCACGCAACACCCATATCTCGGCACTCTTCGTTTTCGAACCACTATGCACTCACTGCCCCCAAATAGCAGTAGAAGCAGCGGACTACGACCCAGACTACAGACACCCGGAGTACCCCTACCTCAAGCGACTACACAGCACTCCCCTCCACGACCTCTACGACTCTACCACCAGCGAGCAGCAGCAGTGCGACATAGTGTACCTTCTCATCCTTCACATCTCCACGGCCATGTTTTGCATGTGGGTCCGCGGTTAGACAGGGCTTCAAAACCTGCCTTGCCTTTCTCACCCACCAGTCACCAAGGGATCTGCGATGAGGCAGGGCTCCAAAACCCGCCGCACAAGTGACACAACCGACCCCTGCAGGCCCACGGCCCGGCAGGGCTCCCAAACCCGCCGCGGGGAGGGGGGGAAGTTGCACAACCGACGCTTCACATCCGACGCAGCTTCTGAGAGCTTGCGTCAACTGTGGGTCCGCAGCCAGATGGGGACTCCCAAATCCGCCGCGTCTTTGGCACCCACGTTCGCCAGCAAGACCACGGCCAGACGGGGCCCAAAAACCCGCCGTGGCCGGCGAAAGGTCAGTCGACGTGCCACATCCGACGCATCAGGGTGCGTGACGCACGCTCTCTCCTTCCACCCCGCCTCGCGCTTGCAGAGGCCAGCCATTGCCCATGAGTGTGAGGGTGGGGAGGAGGAGGAGGAGGAGGAGGAGGAGGAGGAGGAGGAGGAGGAGGAGGAAGGAGGAGGAGGAGGAGGAGAAGGAGGGAGGGAGGGAGGCAGAAAAGGAGGTGGAGGAAGGAGACGAGGGAGACGAGGGATACCGGCGACGAGGAGGAGGCGACGCTTGCAGAGGCCAGCCACTGCCCATGAGAGTGTGAGGGTGAGAATGCATGCCAGAGGATGGAACTACGGTCAGGCCGCCACGGCACGGGCTGCACATGCGGCCGTGGACCAAGAGTGGGCCAACCCGGGACTCCCACGGAAGCCCGAGATGGCCCCCGCCTCCCCCTCGGGGGGCGAATGCCGTGCTCGGGCCCCACCATCGGGACACCACCACACCTGCTCACCCGCTGATCGATGCTCCTCTTTCCTCCTTCCCACCTGCTCCTCGCGCCGCCCAACCTGTTAGCTGTCACCCAACGAGGACGCCACCGACTTTCCTCCTCGCAGCCAGCTCTCGGCCACGTCGAGACGTGCCGCACCCGAACAAAAGATGGTCCGCCACTCTCGGCACCAGGCAACACCACTTGTCGCTTCTGGCTCCGCACAGCCAACCGTCCGCAGCTGGCTGCCTCTCACACTGCCTGCACGCTCGCTCGCACACCGCCCACACCAGGAAGAGTTTTGATCCGCGGGTCGAGAGCGCACCTCTTCCAGTCGAGGCTGAGCGGGCCGCGCGAAGCTTGAATTGGGCAGAGAAGGGGGGGAGGAAGCGGCGGGGCCTCAGAGCGAGGCCGAGAGGAGGCATAGCCTCGGATACAAGCGGTGCCGAAGCCGAAGGTCTTGCGAACAACTCGCTCGCACACCGCCCACACCAGGAAGAGGCACCCCGCCGAGGCGGGCCCTTCCACCCCCTCGGAGGGGGGGGGCCCATGGTCGGGCCTCTTCTCCCTCCACCGCCAGCGCCGCCGCGGCCAGCCCGACGCCTCCTCTCCGCCCGCCTCCTGGATGGTCGTCGCGCGGCACCGTCTCTCCTCACACGCGCCCGCCCCCCCCCCCTCCCTCCTGGGGAGCCGCAGGGAGGCACCCCGGCCCCCAGGAGGCATCCTCGGTTTGGCTACTTTACAAATCACTACCTTGAGCAACCCCCTACCTTTACCGTCTCTCCTCATGCGCCCCGCCCCCTCTCCTCCCTCCTGGGGAGCCGCAGGGAAGCACCCCGCCCCCAGGAGACATCCTGGGCCTGACTGCTTTACAGATCACCATCTGTCTTGAGCAACCCCCCCCCGGGGGACGACCGCCCCCAGGGACGCCCGCCCCAGGGGCAGGGGGCAGCGTTAGATATTCAGCGCCCATGCCAGTAGCGTCGGCGTCAGAAGAAGGAGGAGGGGGACGAAGGAGGAGGAGGAGGAGGAGGAGGAGGAGGAGGAGGAGGAGGAGGACGACGACGACGAGGGAGGAGTAGTAGGAGTAGTAGGAGGGGGGGGAGGAGGAGGAGGAGGAGGAGGAGGAGGAGGAGGAGGAGGAGGAGAAGGAGGGAGGGAGGGAGGCAGAAGAGGAGGTGGAGGAGGGAGACGAGGGAGACGAAGGATAACGACGACGAGGAGGCGAAGATGAAGAAGAAGGGCGCCCTGCTCCCTGGCCTCTGGAGGTGGTGGGGACCCGCCGATCCCGGGCCCTGCTCTGTCTCTGGCGCTCCATCGCGCCGGCGAGCCCGCCCGCCCCCCCCCGGGCCTCGAAGCCCCGGCCCGCGCCGAGCGGGGCCCTCGCTCCGAGCGCCGCTCGAGCCGCAGGAGCCACGTCCTCGCCCTTCTCATCCCCCTCCTCCTCGTCCTCGTATCCTCGTCCTTATCCTCCTCGTCATCATCACTATCATCGTCAGGCTCCTGGTCGTTCTCATCATCAGCCTCCCTATCCTCACCCTCACCCTCATCATCGGCCTCATCATTCTCCTCATCCTCGTCCGCATCCTTGTGATGGACGCGGAGGGAGCGGGGAAAGGAGGAAGGACAGCAGCGAAAGCACCCCAGGCTTGCACCAGCTTCTGCCTCTCTTCCCTCTCCTCCTCGCCATCACTACCCTCCTCCTGGCCCATCCTCTCCCTTCGCCCGCCTCCCCCTTGCTTCCTCATCCCTCACCCCTTCTTCCTGCGTCCCTCCTCCCTGCTCCCTCTCCCCTCCATCCCCATCCCTCCTCGTCGTCCCCTCCTCCATCCTCTCTTCCATCCTCTCTTCGCTGCGCCCTCCTCCCCGTGCCCTCCTCCATCCGCCCACCTCCACCCTCCATCCTCCCCTCTTCCCTCCGCCCCGGTACTTCTCTCCGAATTGGAGCGCCGCCGACGCCGCCGCCGCCGCCGCCCTCCGAGTCTGCATGCCCTGGTCGAAGACCGACAGTGTTGACAGCAGTGGGCCCCTGTTTCTCCAGGCCCCCCAGAAGAGTCCAAAGGGCTCGGCGGGACCTGCAAAGACCTCTGGGGACGTCTGGGGGTCCAGATCCGCGGCAACACGAAAATTCACCATCGCAATCACCGTCACATCCACTGGCATGGTCATAAGGATCGTGATCGTCGCCAGCAGCGACGGCAGCAACGCTGCCATCATCGCCTGCTGTGCGAGCACCAGTGTTCCGACGGCGAGGAGAGCTGCGACGACGCACTATTCACCTGGCCTGATACCATGCCCACCTTGTGCTCCCCCATCGCCGTGCCTCCTCTGTTCGCTGTTGCTTGATCCTCCTCCTCCTCCTCCTCCTCCTCCCCCTCCTCCTCCTCCTCCTCCTCCTCCTCCTTCTCCTTATCCTCATCATCCTCATCATCATCCTCCCGCCCACCTCCTGTCTCGTTCAGTACAGCTTGTCCTGCCGTATACTTATGGAGCTGGGACTTTTGTATATGCCATGCCTCGGGGAACTCTGTGGAATACATTCTGGAGATGGTAATGTTAATTCAGAAGGCTTCCAGAGCACGCCTGCCTGTAAGGTCGTGATGTCCCCCTCTTATCGTTTAAGATCCCTTCCCCTTTCCCTCACCTCGCTTCCCCTCTTCCTCCCGTAACCCCTGAGCAACCTCAGGACGAGCAAGTCGTGTTTGGAATGCGACCCCCTGATTTGTCCCTTCCGATCTCGAAGGGATAAAGATGCCCCTGGAGGCCGACTGTTCTGTTCGACGTTCCCGCGTGTTGTTCTGCAAGGTGGCAACGTGTGACGTGCTCTACCACATCGTGTTAGTGATGCTACCACTGATGATGCCAATGATGACAATGACGATGATAATGACAACGATACTGATGCCGATCGAAATCGAGAGTCCATCTCTCCCTCTCTGTCTCTCTCTCTCTCTTGATACTATTCGTTCGGTAGCGTTCGGCTTCTGTTCTGGATGATGCATTTGTTTTGCATGCTCATCCTCGTCCCTTCTATTTCTCCGCCAAGTCGGAGGGGGTAGCGATCGCTTTTTCGTTTTTTCTCTCTACTCTCTATCTCTCTCTCTCTCTCTCTCGCACTCTGAACACACAAGAGGAATGGGGGAAATGGGAAGGGCAGTGGCTGCTCTTTCTCTCTCTCTCTCTCTCTCTCGTTGTATTTTTCTTTTCCTCTCTCTCACATTATCCGCAGAACGCGGTGGACAATGAGAGTAAGCAGCAGGTACCCCTCACAATTACCCTCGCACCCTCCACGGAAAACGCCGAGGAGGACATCGGAGGGGGGAGTGATGTATGTCTCGTCTCCCTCTCTCTCTCTCACCCTCTCCCTCTCTCGCTCCCGCTCCCCCTCCCTCTCCGCTTGTCCACGCGCGCAACCCAGGAGGGCGAGCTGGACGGAGAACGTCGCTACTCCCTTATGGGGGGGAGCGAAGGTTCTCTTCGGCGGGGCGAGAGCGAATCTCTTCCGCTAAAAGCTAGGCGGGCTACGCACAGCTTCAATTAGGGGGACAGGGCACAGGTAGGCGGGGCCTCACGCGGCCGGAGTGGGCGGGGCCCGGGGTGCAGGCGGTGCCGAAGAGCTTGCACAGGAAAAGGTACGCCGTGGACAGGGAGGAGGGGAAGATCCGCCACCCCCCCCACACACATACAATTTTAACCCGGCGGCACAGAGGAACCTCAGGCGCGGGCAGCAGATGAAAGTGTTAATTTCAGACGGCCTCAGCCGAAAGAACAGCAGCGCGAGGGGTCGCACACTGTACAGTGCAAATGGGTGGTGTGGTGATGGGATAGCACCCAGAGAGCGTGCAGCGGCCAGAACCCGAGGAGCACGATAGCTCGATTCAAAACCTTGACCGTCGGTACAAATCACAACCTGTAGAGCTGCCGGAACAGCCGATTGGTGGGGCAACGCAGAGCAAGGCCAGGCGGGAGAAAGGGTAGATTGCCACCCTACGACCCGCCGGCACACAGCAAAAGCATCAATGGAGTGCTAGACCTACAGGCCGCGGCAGCACCACAACAGCGAACCCGACGCAAGACCAGCCACCTGGTGGCGGCGTCAACACGCAGGGAGCTGCGCGACAAAGCGACGCCCCCAGCCTTGCACCAGCACTAGCCGCATCAACGAACGAGCAACAGAATGCACGAGGTCGGCGTGACAAAGATGATCACACGGGCGGGCCGACTTAGCCATGGACAGCGGGCGGGAGACTGAACGCGGGCGACTCACACACACACACACACACACATACACACACACACACACACACACACGTAGGAGCAGGTAGCAGCTACTATCCTGCACTCTGCACCCCCAACATGGATTCAGGGGAAAGTGTGGGGACTGCTGTTGCTCGGTATGCCTTTTTCGACACACGCACGCACACGCGACACAGAGTGGGCAATGGGAGGGAGCAACGGTTGCCCCCGCACCCTCCGCGCGCGCGCAGGGGTAGGGGAGGGAATGGAAAGAGGGGAGAGGCTGCTTTCTGCATCTCTGTCTCTATGTTTCTCTCCCTCTCTCTCTCTCTCTGTATATTTGTTTTGTTCTCTCTCTCTCCCTCTCCCTCTCTCTCTCTCTCTCTCTCCCTCTCTCTCTCTCTCTCTCTCTCTCTCTCTCTCTCTCTCTCTATATATATATATATATATATATGTGTATCTTTCCCTCCCTCCGTCTCTCTACAAACACAGGGCTATGTGTGTGCCGGTAGGTGTAATACCGTTCAATACCCATCGGTCGGCCTGCTCATATGAATATATACACATACATGCTTGCACATACATATATATGACAGACATATATATGTATGTGTACACAAACCAGCTATATACACTTATACATATAAGCATACGGTTACTTTGACAATACCTAAGCTTGTCTACATACATGCCAACATATCGTGTATAGGTCCATACAGAGAGCTTTGCAGCCATATGTACGCCAATGTGTACCCACGTGTAGATGCTTATATATGTATATATGCATACCACATCATACATCTGTCTGAAGGATATGTCCATACATCTGATTGACCCATCCATCGATTGATCGGCCCAACGAAGTATCTAAGACCATGTATAAGTGTATGTATACATGTCTTTTTTATATATAAACATACATACAAAAACATATCCATATGTCTGCATGGCTACGAATAAGCACACACACACGTTCCAGATTATTGATCTGGCTACGTGCATAACCACACACACACACGCACCCATTCATCTGTATGTATGTGTAAACTTCGTCGTATGTCCGCATTTGTATATGCGAAGCATGCTATATCGATCCATAACGCCGTAAGATACATCTTGCCATCCCTCTGTACACCACTATGTATTGTACGCATACACATACAATTGTAAGTACACATCAACCCATTCGTCGATTTATACGTGTATCCATCCACCGACGTAATTGTCGATCGGCCAGAGTAATTAAATGTAAATGAAAAATGTACAACTGTACGCTTCTATATCCGGAAATATGTCAGCCGGATTTCTTCGTCTATCTTTGTTCATGTCTATATACCCGTCGACATCTGCCAGTCTCGCGATGGTAATCAGCTCTAAATCGTCCACAAAAAATCGCTAGGCCAACGGGCCAGAGGCGTGCTAGGATCTCCGGTAACAGCCCACGGATTTTCTACTTCGTGCGCGCGGCCCCTGGGAGCCCCCGGACGACAACTACCCCGGGCGACCCCCGGCCAGGTCGGGTCAGAGATGCTTTCTCTCCTGGGCGCCGCCCTCGAAGCCCTCCAGAGAGCCCCAAGCAGGGCCAAGAGAACCCCAAGACGCCCCCGAAATAGAACAAGAGCGTTCCGAGATGCCACAAGATGCCCAAGATTGCCCCCAGACGCCCCAAGAGGCCTCAGGAAGCACTCCCGAGAGGGCCCCAACAGGTAAAAATCAATGATTTCCCTCAGGTTTTGGACAGCTTTGGCCGTTTCCCCTTTTCGGCTTCCCAACGCCTCAAGACGGCCCAAGAGGTCCCCAAAATCGCCCCAAGAGGGCCCAAGAGGCCCCAATACAGCCCCAAAACGGCCCAAGAGGGCTCCAGGACCGCCCAAGACGACTCCAACACGGCCCAAGAAGGCCAAGAACGCCCCAAGAGAGGCCCGGAGGGGGAACACGAAACAACATGTCGAGATCTCGGCCATAAGGACCCCCCAGACCCCCCAAGAGGTCCCCAGAGGTCCCTCACCAGCCCCAAAAAGCCCCCAACAGGCGGTCAGGAGACCGCCAAGAGGCCCAAGAGCCCCAAAAATACTCAAGGTTCGGACGTCCCCGAAAGCCTCGGAGAACTCCCAAGAGTTTCCTGCGCACTGCCCGCCAGAAGCTCACGACAGCGGTCCGAGGAGACCGGGCAGATGGGATCCAAAAGAGCAGGGAAGAAAGAACAACGAAGAGGAAAACACACCGCGAGCCTCACGAGCACACGATCAAGAATGGCGCGCTTGTTTAAGCCAGTCCCGCAGTCCGATGCTGACCCACCTACGCACAACAGCGTACCGGGAAAAAAAACCGGGAAAAGAAGATAGAAGGGAAAAGAATTACCAACGCTGTCCCTGCATCCCGCGACCAGAATGACAATCGACACCAGGACAAGATGAGAGCCATTGTTCCCATTCAAAACCCGCCACCATCCGACACGAGGGTTCCATCATCGCATCAGATCTCTCCTCCTCTTACTCGAACAGTCCCAACCGAGTTTCTGCAGGCGACAACCCCCCACGAAACACCAGAGGCCCCACAGGGCGGCTAACACCCAGAAAACGCGTAAGAAACCAACGAACCTCTGACAATTTCTCCACACTGTCCAAACGACCGCTACGCGGCTGCTCCACGGAAGCTGCTCCAACCCCAAATATGGCGAACGCAATGTCTCACAAACACACACGCCGACCCTGCAGCTCCGCACTGCCAACGAACACTCGGCCAGCCGACACAGCGGCGCGCAAACATAGGCCGGCGGAATGAGCGAAGCGATTAAATAATTTGATGCGCAAGTTGAAGCTATATATAAGTTCTCGCTGTAGCACAAGCGGAGCAGCTGTGCAACCTATACAATACGAATGAGTTCGTACATCGCCCACGAAATTGAGCCGACCGTATTGCGGGGCACTAGGATTCGATTTGAAATCCGCACACCAGAGAAAATGCACATCGCCTTCAGAACAAGTCCGAGTGCAAAGCCGCACAAGCGGATTTCACGCACAACCATCACAAAAAAACGATTGGCTACTCAGCAAGAAAAACACGACTGGCGCGCCGCACAAAAGGATTCATGAAAAATCCGCACAAGAGAAATCAATGTGCAATTCATCTACAACAGGGCAGATGACTGCAAAGCCCGCAAGAGAATTCTACGTGCAACGCGCACAACAAGAATCCAATAATCAATGTGCAAATCGCCGACGAAGGGCATCACATTGTAAAGCGCACAAAAAGATTCAACGTGCAACACAGACCACGGGAGTCAATTTGCAAATCGCATATGAAAAAGAAACACGCTGCAAAACCGCACGAAAGCATTAGATGCGCAGCCCACACATTAAACAAAAATTTGCAAAACTTCTACAAATTGATTGCCCGTGGCAGGAAGCCGGAAAAAGTTCGAGGAAAACACGGAAAAAAAACGACATCGTGTTCTTTTGCGGCCGGGGGGCGGCCACAAAAAAAAATAGCTTGGCGAAGGGCCCAACCATGCACAGCTCCGGGCGCCGCAATCACGAGCATAAGCTTCGGCGGGGTTTCTCATAGACGGGGGGGCGCGAAACGTGCGAGGGCGTGCCAAAATAGGATGGCGGCGGCGCGCGGGCGCTGCCACTGGAGCATTCGGTGGAGCTCCCTGTAGAGCCTTCGGCGCATCCCCCTATGCAGAATAGCGAGAAAAGCTAGCCGTTTAGACCGTCCTGGATGGGATTCCTCTTCTCGCCCCCCCTCCTTCCCCGCGCGCCCCCATGTCCAAGGCTGCGCACGCAGCGCAACGCGGGGCCCCCACGACGCGCGCCAGTAGCCCCGAGAGGGCCCCAGCGACCTGCGCGGGTCGCCCGCTGCGCGGAGCAAAGAGAGCTAGCCGGCTCGCTGATAGCAGCCACGGCCCTGGCCGCCGGGCAGACCGACGACTAGCGAGCGAGGCGCAGGGCCGAGCGCACGCAGCACGGAGTTCCCGCGACGCGCGCCGGTCGCCCCGGAGGGGCCCAGCGACGCGCGCGGGTCGTCGGCGGCGCACGGCCAAACAGTTGGACAGTCGAGAGAAGGCGCGGCTCGGGCGCGCCGCTCCTCAAGTCAGGCCTCGCGAATAAATTCGGCGAAGCCCAGCTCTCTGGCGAGGGCCGTCGCCTCCCTCCTGCGCCGCCTTGCGCGCGCCGCAAGGCGGCCCCAGCTGCCCCCGCGAGCCCTCCGGCGGCCCGGCCAGGAAGAACACAATCCGCGGCGCCCGCATGGGCCAGAGGTCCTCGCGGCGGGTGGCGCTCGAGAACAGCGCGCAGAGCTCTAGCCACCAGTCGTCGCCCCCTTCTTGCCGTTCCCGACCTCGCGATGGCCACAGCCCAGGATCACGCCTGGGCGGCGTCGACCGAGGAGGCAGCGCGCCGGGCAGCCGACGGCCGCCCAGCGCGAGTCCGCAGGACCGAGGCCTGGCTGCGGACAGCTCGCGCCCAGGCGGCGCGGCCGTGGACTTTCTGCGAGCGCCGTTCCCCCGCCCGATCGCCCACTCGCACGGCGCGCCCCCAGCACGCCACAGCGGCGCTGTCCCTGCCGCGCGAAATCGGGAAGCCAGCGCGGGTGACCTCGGAGGCGCGGAAAGTGAACGGCTCGGACGCGCGAGGCTCGATGAACACCAGCGGGCCCGCGAGGTCCCCCGTGAAGCCGCGGTCGCGGCGCTCAAGGTCGCCCGCGAAAGGCGCGCCCGTGTACTTCTCAATGCGCACCCAGAACCCCGGCGACAAGCGCCTCAGATAGATCCTCTCTCCCCGTCTCTCTCGGCTGCCTCCACCTCGGCCCCCTCCCGCAGGCCCACGACGACGTGCACGACGTGCCCCTCGGCATCCTGGACGAGGCCGTTCTTGAGGTCGAGCGCCTCCAGGAGCCGGATCCGCATTCCCACGTGCACCAGGAGGAGTCTGGAGGCCGTGCATGCCACAAATGTTCTTCGGGCTGGCGCAGTTCATCATCTTGGCGGCGTCCTTCACGCCCACTGTCGGGGCAGACCTGTCGGCTGCCTGCACAAGGAAGAGGGACTTCTTCAGGGGCTTCGACAGAGCTCGAGCTAGGAGGAGAACGACGACAATACACACACCTTCCGACGACCGCCCGGCCCTCAGCCAGCCTGTGGGGACCCCTGGGGCCGTCAGACACACGGCGCCGAACATTTCAAATTTCGATTCGATCCCCTGTTGTTCAACACAAATTTCTCTCGGAGACAAGCAGTTGTCGTACCCCCTACCTCCCTGCCCGGCGCCGCCATGCGAACCTTCCCACTAGGACCTTCGGTGCAGTTACCCATGGGACCACGAAACGTGCGAGGGGGATCTGAATGGGGAGTTGGCTCGCCATGCAGACCTCTCCACTGCACCATTCGGCGGGCGAGGGGTGTGCCGCATCGGGCGCGGGTATGTCATGCAGACCCTGCCGCTGGAGCCTTCGGTGGAGCTCCCCATGGGGCCACGAAGCGTGTGATGGTGTGCCGCATCGGGCGCGGGCACGCCATGCGGACCCTGCCGCTGGAGCCTTCTGTAAAGCTCCCTGTGGGGCCACGAAAGGAGGAAGGCTGTGCCGCATCGGGCGCGGGCACGCCATGCGGACCCTGCCGCTGGAGCCCTCGGTGGAGTCCCCTATGGGGCCACGAAACGTGTGAAGGGTGTGCCGAATCGGGCGCGGGTACGCCATGTGGACCCTGCCGTTAGGGCCCTCGGTGGAGCTCCCTTTGGGACCACGAAACGTGTGGGGGGGCCGCATCGGGCGCGGGCACGCCATGCGGACCCTGCCGCTGAAGCCTTCGGTGGAGCTCCCTATGACCACGAAGCGTGTGACAGGTAAACCGAATCGGGCGCGGGTACGCCATGTGGATCCTGCCGCTAGGGCCTTCCGTGGAGTTCCCGATGGGGCCACGAAACGTGTGAGTGGTGTGCCGAATGGAAGACATGCAGAGAGCAGAGGCAAAGAGGGAGAGGAGGGGGGAGGGGGCAGCGGGAGGTGAGGTGCGCTGTCCTTTCAAAACGAGGACCCAACACCACAAGATGATTGGGAAAAACGATGGGGCAAGTCATTTGTGATGTGTCTGTTTCGCTCGCCTCTTAAACTTGTTCCGGCTCCGTTTCAACGGGAATCCTTGTGTAGGCGACTTGCAAACTGATTTCATTGTGCTGGTTACAAATAGAATCCCTTGAAGGGTTTTCCAACCGGATTCCTGTGGTAGACGATTTACACATTGATTCCTATAGTTTGGATGACACGTAGAATCCTTTTTGAGCGGCTGCCTTATAAGATACTCTTGCAGCCAAAATAACAACAAAAGCAAAACAACCGAAGCAAATAAGGCAAAACAAAGCGAACAGCTGAACGAAGCAAAACTGGAACAGAGCGACACAAGAGCGGAACGAAGGAAGGAAGCAGACACAGCGAAACAGGAGCCGAAGCGCGGGAGCGTCGAAGAGAACAGTCGCCCCCATGGAGGGCCGCGTAGGGGGCGCTTTTCCAAAGGGTGCGGCCCCTCGCCAGGCCAGAGAAATAGCCCAGCGGAACGGCGCGTAGGCACATTGCCAGCGCAACGCAAAGCCAAATTCCGCTTCATTTCTGCTTCACGTTTTTCGCTGCTACGCAGAGCTTACCAAGCGAGACGTCGAACTGTTGGCGCGTATGTGGTCTGGTCCAATTTTGTCCTCCACCTCCCTCGTTCCCTCGTCCGCCTCCTCCCCCTCCTCCTCCACGCCCTTCCTCCCTCCTCATCCCTCCTCCCTCCTGCTCCTCGAGGACCTGCTCCACCTCCTCCAGCTGCTCCCTCTACGCTGCGCAGGGTCAGGCACGGCCACCCCACTTCGAGTCTGCCCTCGCCGCGCGCGACGCGCGGGCCAGAGACCCCAGCACCCTTGGGCGCCGCCGAGGATGGTTGCCAGAGGTTGGTGGTGGGAGGAGAGGACACAACGCACTCCTTCTCCTCTTCCTCCTCATCATCGTCATCCCCCCTCCTCTGCCTACTCATCATCGTGCTCATCATCATCGTCCTCATAATCATCGTCCTACTCCTTCCTCTTTCTTCTTTCTCTCGCAATGCGCATGGACCCTAGCCCGCGAAGGATGGACGGCCTCATTCAGCCAGCGCAGGCACGCTTCTAATACCAGCGCCCTTGCTTCCTCCTCATCCTACTTCTCGTCCCACTCCTCTAGCGAATATATATATATATATATATAGCAAAAAAAACTTTTGACGGTCCGCATGGATTTCTTGGATCTCATCATCGTCCTCCTCGTCATCATCGCCCCTCCCCTCGCCATCCTCCAGCGCCCTCCCTCGCCGTACCGTCCTGCAGGATGCCGCAGGCAGCAGGCACGCCAAGGGCGTTGCGGACGACCACCACGCGCCCCTCGAGCTGCGAGAGCCGCAGGCCAGTCCTCACCGGCACCTTCCTCCGCCCCGGGTACGCGTCGGCTTGAAGAAGACGCCGCCGCCGCCGACGACAACGACGACGACGCCGCCGCCGCCGCCGACGCCGCCGCCGCCGCCGCCGACGCCGCTGCCGCCTCCGACGCCGCCGCCGCCGCCGCCGCCGAAGCCGACGCCGACGCCGCCGCCGCTGCCGCCGCCGCCACCGCCGACGACGACGACGACGACGCAGACGACGACGACGACCACGACGACGACGACGACGACGACGACGACGACGACGACGACGACGACGACGACGACAGCGACGACGACGACAGCGACGACGACGACGACAACGACGGTGACGGTGTCGCCGCCTCTCCGAGTCACCTCTCCGCAGGCGCTAAGGACTGCATCCTACGGGGGCCTCCCGGGGCGCCCTCGTCGCCACGAGCGTAGCCCGGCTCGAGGCCCTGGTCGGAAGGTGCTCCGCGAGGGGGCCGGGCATCGATCTGTGGTGGCACCCCAACGATGCCTCGTCTGAGGAGCTGAGAATTACCAGCCTGGAACATATCCCTATCCCTATGCTGGGCACCTCCTCATCACGATGCCAATCTTAGGGACTCCCTTATTTTTTGAGGGCGAATCCCTAAGACTGTCATCGCCTTTGGGCGTGTCCATCTTAGGGATAGGGGTACGTTCGAGGCTGGTAAGAGAAGCTGGCATGACCCTCTTGACTCATCCTGTCCGTCCGCCAGAATATTGCCAGCACGTGTTGCATGGAACATCGTAGGACCCTGCACTTTTTACTGGTTCCCCTCTGACGACCACCTTCGCAGTGAGCACCCCTGTCAGAGAAGCCCTTAAGTACACGCACATGAGGAAGGAACCAAGCAAAACAATAAACACCGCCAACACCTGGCCGAGTCATCGTGCGAATGATTCACCTTGAGACTACCAGCCTGCGCCGGCTGATTAGGGCAGTGGAAAGATGTACAAAGGGGGTGGTTCATCGGGGCACGGTTGCGAATTCCTCCTTTGTCGAGCGGGCATGGTGCTGCTCGGAATGTTTATCCGGCCAGCCACTCGAGGGCCCTTCGTGCTGTAATTGCACTCGGGGTTGGGAGCCTGTTCCATAGCCATTCCGAAAAAGTGATCACGACATTACGCCCAGCAGAGAGGCCACCCACGGAACAAAGCAGCCCGACTGGGTAAGCCCCCACGTGAGTACTACGGCGAGGAGCGGATAGCAAGGAGCGAGGGGGGACGATAGCAGACCAGGGTGGAAGGGAGGGAGGGGGAAGGGAAGCAAAGAAGGAGAGGGAGGGAGGGAGCAGGGAGACAGGGATGTGCTGCGAAGTGAACAAGAGGGGGGTCAGGAGGCAAAGAAGAACCGAGGCAACAAGGAGGCGAAAGAGCGATGAACGAGCACGGGAATCCTTCTTCCCCTCGTCCTCCTCCTCCTCCTCCTTCTCCTCCTCCTCCTTTCCCTCCTTTCCCTCCATCCATCTATATCATTTGAGGAAGGGGCATCTGCGAGGGTTCCTCATGTAGGCAGCGCTGCAGCGTCACTGAGCGAAAGAACTGCTCGCTGGAGTGAAGACTGAGACCAAGATGGCTAGACAGAAGTACCGAGAGCAATGCGTAGCAAGCGACTCCACTCGGGGATTGTGTGACGCCTCCGTCCGCGTATTGCTGAATCAGCCGTCGTGCACAGCACTAAGAACCACCAGCGGCAATCAGAACGATCCCGATGCGAGCCCCTGGGCCCACTGCGCAGTAGCACCGCACCTGAATTTGGCCAGGCAGAGCCAAGAAAACCAGATGCGCTTGAGCCTGCACAGGGACGTCGTCCACGACGCTGGCCCTCACCATGCGGACGCACTTTTGAACAAGCTCCGGGCTGGCCAACAGAGTGTTGGCGAAGCCTCACGAACATAACGGCATGCTTGGGACGTTTTCGAGGCGCGCGGGGTCAAAGAGGACGTGGGACAGACCCCAGGGAGACGACAAAGACCCTGCCGACTTGGCGTGCCAGCCCGTGTCCGAGAGATCAGCGAGAGCGGTGCTGCAACAGCGAAGCTGGAGCGGCTCGGCGCGTCGCAGGGACGGCGTACAACAGCCCAGTCGTGTGTAGCTAGATCGGCATGCAGAGCGGCACTGTCATGCGCGCTACCCAGTGGTGCTTATGAGAAGAAGGAAGAGGAGGAGGAGGGGGAGGAGGAGGAGGAGGAGGAGGAGGGGACAGGGCGTTGCGCGGAAATCCCCTGCGGCCCAGGCGGCTACTTCTGTGAGGCAGAAGTGCACAGCGGCATCCCAGGATGGGGAAGAAAGAGAGACAGAGAGAGACAGGGAGAAGCAGAGACAGAACGAGAGGCACTTTTTTGATCCGCGGGTCGAGAGCGCACCTCTTCCGGACAGGGAGCGAAAGACACGTCGCGGCGAGGGGGGGGGCGGAGCATGATGGAACAGGCGCCCACGGTCCTGCCAGCCGACACTGGAAACGGAAAGGCAACGGGCGCCAGAGGGAGAGGGAAGAGGAGGAGGAAGAGGAGGAGAAGGACGACGAAGGGCGGAAAACACGATACCGAACTATTACAGTGCATCCGGAGTCTCGAAGTGCTTGCGTTTCACAGCAGCCTATGTATATATATATATATATCGATCAAAGGTTTCCTCACCGTGGCATCTTGCACGTCAGGTCTGTTCCCACTGCCTTCCTCGCTCGGAATGCATTCCGTCTCGTCGAACTCGCTCAGTTTGGTGTTCGACTCTGCCGGCGAATGTCCTCGATGAGCTTCTGGTAGTCGCCTGAACGTCAGATGGTAGTTCTGTGTCCCAGCGTCTCAGCGATTCAAGAACGCCTCGCGCAAGGGCAATGCCAGCGATCAGCTGGTTCACGTTGTTGGCTACGTCGTTGCCCCTGGCCTCACACCTGTGAAGCTCTTCGGTAGAACGCCCGATGACCTCTGCGAGTTCGAACCCGAGAGGCAATCAGGACTGGGTGGTTTGAAGTTGGCTCTGTGCCATTCCCCGTCGGTGCCTGCGCTTCTGCCTATGGAAGCACCCTTTCTGGCGGAGTGGACACCTGATCATCACTGGACTGCTCGACATTCGGAAGGCCATCTTCTGACTGGCCGCCCTCAGCAGAGGTCACAGTAACCTGCGTGTCCTTGCCGTTGCTACCGGTGGGCTCACATCAACGGCACGGCCAGGCAAGTCGTGCCGACACCGCGGAACCAACATTGGCTCAGACGACATCTGGAAACTCGTTCACCTCATGATCAGTCCTGCCTCTCATCCTCGCCGCCTTCTCCTCCCTCTCCTCCTCATCATAATCCTACTCATTCCTTCCTCCATCCGTACTCCTCTTCCGTCCACCCTCTCCCGCCCTCCCTCCTCCCTCTACCCTCCCTTACATATCCATCCCTCCCTCCACCCTTCATCATTGTCTCCTTTACCTTCCCATCCGCCTTTGAATCCGTCCCCCTCCCCCCTCCTTGCTCCTCCTCCCTCACCCCTGCTGTTGCCGCTCCTCCTCCTCCTCCTCCTCCACCTCCCTCCTCCTCCTCCTCCTCCTCCTCCTCCTCCTCTCCCTTCTCCTCCTCCTCTTCCTCCTCCTCCTCCTCCTCCTCCTCATCCCCTCCTCATCCTCCTTATCTTCCTCCTCCTCTCCTCCTCCTCTTCTCCTCCTCCCCCTCCTCATCATCATCATCATCATCATCATCATCATCATCATCATCATCATCATCATCATCATCATCATCATCATCATCATCATCATCATCATCATCATCATCATCATCATCATCATCATCATCATCATCATCATCATCATCATCATCATGCGCAGCAGCAGCACCATCAAGATCAGCAGTATCATCATAATCATCATCATCATAAGCAGCAGCATCATCATCATCATCATCATCACAAGCATCATCATCATCAGCATCATCATCATCATCATCATCATCATCATCATCCTCAGCAGCATCATCATCATCATCATCATCATCATCATCATCGTCATCGTCATAATCATCATCATAAGCATCATCATCAACAGCAGCACCATCCCCCTCATCCTCATCATCATCGTCGTCATGATCATCATCAGCAGCATCATCAGCATCATCAGCATCATCAGCATCCTTATCATCGTCATCATCATCAGCATCATCAGCATCAGCATCATCAGTATCCTCATCATCCTCACCATCAGCATCAGCATCATCACGATCAGAATCATCATCATCAACATCAGGATCATCGTACTCGTCGTCACCATCATCATCATCATCATCATCAGCATCATCATCATCGTCGTCGTCATCATCATCATCATCATCGTCAGCATCAGCATCATCATCATCATCATCCTCCTCATCATCATCCTCCTCCTGCTCCTGCTCCTGCACCTCCTCCTCCTCCTCCTCCTCCACCTCATCATCATCATCATCATCATCATCATCATCAGCTCTTGTCATGAATCACTCATCCCTGTCGCACCCCGAGACGTGTCGGCAGGATTGACGTAGCGTTTCGCCTGAGACTTCCTCATCACTCGTGATGATGAGCTTGATACTTGCAACAGCTTCAAGGATGAATGCCCGTTAACTTTCAAAATGTGACTGTAGTTTCAGCGCCGCGCACATTCGTTATCAAGGTTCGAAACTGCCTGAAATATTCGTATGGTTGAAGTCCCAGGAACGGTGTTCTGGCACGATTTGGCAGTGCCAGGAAGCAACAGTCACGTCGACTTCGCGGCGTTAAAGTCCCAGGAGTGGCGTTTTGGAAAGATTGGGGATTATGAAGCATTTGTTTTCTAGCGGGGCACTCCCCGCAATGAAACAAATTCTTAAGGCGGCATATGGAGAAAGAATTGGGAGGGAGGGCTTATTGCAACATCATTGATACGTCTTGGACTTACACTGGTCATCATCACCAGCATCATCAGCACCATCACCAGCATCATCATCATCATCATCAGCAGCAGCAGCATCATCAGCATCATCAGCATCAGCATCAGCATCAGCATCAGCATCAGCATCAGCATCAGCATCAGCATCATCAGCATCATCATCATCATCATCATCATCATCATCATCATCATCATCATCATCATCATCATCATCATCATCATCATCATCATCA